ACACGTGCACAGTGAGCTATGGTGGCGACAAAGGCTGGCATTCTAAGTGTACGTGTATGTGCGTTTGTGTGTGTGTGTGTGTGTGTGTGTGTGTGTCAGAGTCCCGTGGGCACTGCCTCACGGGTAGCTGCGCCGCTGTCCCACTTCCACCGCTAGAGGCACCCTCCCCAGTTCCACCATAGTAGTCAAGGTATGGCAGTGCTGAAGAAAAAGACGAAGAACTGGCGACGATACTAGCAGCAATGCGTGTTTCAAAACTGAAACAGGCTGGCTGGCGCCGTGAGCTACCGTTCGCCCCCTCCTCTTCCTCCTCCTCCTTCCCTCCCTCCTCCTCCTCCTCGGCCTGCCTCCTCGTCCTCCTGCCCTCCTCCCGCCTCCTCCTGTTATGTCCTCTTCCATCCGGCTGGGGTTCAGAGGCTGCTTGACTGTATTTGTTTACACCGCTTCTTCATAGTCTTAGTTCGGAGGAGCTTTCATTGTACCAAATGTATATGGACAGCGGGGCGCGACCCTGGGAGACACAAGTCCTGGGGTAACCAGGAATGCCGACAGGGATGGGTGGGGGAGCATACTCTCATGGAATTCGCAGTCGAGATCGGAGCGATTTCAGGCAGGGGTGGTGCTTCATTGTACAGATGCCTCAACTCTGAAAGTCATTGCTCGTCTTCTCAGCCCAGCCGTTTGGCTACAAGGATTTGTGAGTTCGAAGTTGCAGGGGCCTCCGAGCAACGCGAACAAGTTTTCGGAGGCGCGCGGGGGGTGGTGATCCCAGGCCTCCGACGGCTTCATCTGCTCGAGCCGGCTGAGCCCAGACCTCTCGACCCGCTCCTCGGGGCCGGCCGTCTACGGCTTCTGCGGCCCGAAGGTTGCCGCCAGAGGCCCAGAACGGCGCAGAGCCTCGGTCAGATAGTAAACTACGGAAGTTTCCGCTCGTCTTGAATTGAGAGTATATCGGCGAGTAGCGCCTAATAGCGCCCTAAAGCACCAACTAGCGCCGCATGGCGCTCAATAGCGCAAAGTAGCACCCAAATAGTGCCCAACAGCGCCCAATAGCGCCCTGTGGGGGAGGTGCCTCACGCCGCTATTGGATGCGCTATTTGGCGCCATGGGGGTGCGATCTGACCTGAGCCGGCGCAGGCTGAGGACGCGTGTACGGCCCACCCGCCTCGCCCAGATCGGCCGCAACATCCGAAGAGGACGAGAGGCCGAGAGGAGGAGGCGGAGGAGGCGGAGGAGGAGGCGGAGGGAATCAGAGGCGGAGGAGGAGGAGGAGTAGAAGGAGAAGGAGGAGGAGGAGGCGGAAGAGGAGGCGAATGAGGAAGAGGCAGGGGAGGCGGAGGAGGAAGAGGCGGAGGATATGTCTTGATTTGGTCACCACATATTGGCTCTCCAGGGCCGGCTTCTCATCCTGGCCGAGCACGGTGGACAAACATCCAATCCTCGAAGCTCTTTGGCGAAGTCCGAGCCCTACCCTCGCCGATCAATGATTCGGGCAATTCGATGGGCGGCGGGCGGCTGGCGCAAAGGACCTCACGAGGATCCACCACCTGCGCCACCGCTGGGCCTGGCTTCCGAAACGGAAAAGATCAAGGCCCCAAACCCCTCGACGGGGGCCTTCTCGAAAAAGGTGCCCTGCAGTCCTGCGCCTGCAGCCCAGGGCGCTCGAGCTGCATGCTCCAGACTCCTGTGGCGCTCCCGCCTGGCGCGGGCCTCGCGCCTGTTGGCCTCGATCTGGCATCGTTGCTCGTCGGCCCTCGGTCAATGCTGGGGGAGGAGGAGGAGGAGGAGGAGGAGGAGGAGGAGGAGGAGGAGGAGGAGGAGGAGGAGGAGGGACGACGTCGACGACGACGTCCGAGGCGGAGGGGGAGAAGAGATGAGAGGGGTGACCTCCAGCGCCCAGAGCTCGGACGACACCGTTCCACTCGCTGGGTCCAAACAGACCTTCGTGTCCGACGGGCCAACGCCCTCGGGGGGGGCCAGGGAAACTCCTTCCCCTTCATATTCTTGGACAACATCTAAGAATTTCAAGGTCCACACGTGTGGACACCCCTGGATCACGGGGACAACCCGCAAATCAGGGGCCAAGGTAGAATCACGATCGCATTCAGGAGTCCAAGGAACGTAAAACCGATGAGCTTGTCTGTAAGCTCCTGCTAATTGTCCCCGAAAGCGAAATCAGCCTCAGCATGGTCGTCTACTAGCTGAGCAGTACTGTCCAAGATGGCTCCGGCTAAGGCACAGCACAAGTTGCTAGATAGGTGTTCTTGGGCTGGGTCCGCCAAGACCCGTCACCCCGCCGCAAGAAACGTCACGTGAGCGTCTTTGCCGTGCGCGCAACGCCCCTAGCCCGGCGTGTCCTGGAGAAGCTCACCGAGCTTCGGCATGCGTATGTTGATCATACGCGTGGGTGCCCGGCCCACTGTAGACCAATCTGTACTCACACTGATCGAAATCTGTCGCGGTGGCCACTGGAGACGACACCAGTGCGACCAGGGCGGGCCACCTCCACGATGTGAAGGCGGAGCGTACCCACGTCGCGGGGAGGGGGTGTTCCATCCAGCCCCCCGTCCCAGCACGCAAGTGCTCTGAGAGCATGAGGACGAAAGCCTGAATGAGCTGACCCCCCACCCTGAGCTGTTCTTGGTGCCTAGGCGAGCAGCCGGGGACGCCCCAAAAATGGCCAAGGGTGCGGAGAAGTAAGGGGGGGCCCCTTCTTGCCACCTCGGGGCGCTCCAAGTTTCGCACGGCCGCCCCCCCCGTGCTCAACACTCGCCTGTCGCGTATCTGGCGCATACAGAATCCGATTGTGGCGGCAGCCGTGAGATCTCCCCTGTCGGCATCGATGGCAATGTCCAAGGAGAGGCAGAAGAGCTGCCAGCGGGGCGAGGTGTGGGAAGCCGATATACGCCACCTGATGTCCACAGTCCTCCGCCTATCGCAAAGCAAGTTAAGCACTGAAAATTGCGGGCGACTGTTTCTGTACCGAAACATGTGGCCGACATTCTTTGGTAGTCCTGGGGCCTGAAAAGCCAGAACCTGTCGTCCGTTTCCGTCTCCTGGCCCTGAGGATGGCCGGCGCGTCCCGAAAGGGCTGGAAATTGGGTGCCTCCTCCTCCTCCGAGAAAGCGAGGTCTGAACGAATCAAAACTTCACGGTCCTCGGCGTCCGTTACTGGCGTCGCGACGTCTCGAACAAAGGGATCAGCCTACAGAGCTAGGGCTGGGTTCGCGATTTTGCCGAGCTGGCACAGCTGGTCGCCATCGGCCGAGCCCAACTGACCGCTGCCGCTCTGCAGCAGCGTCCGCTCCCTCATTTACCTGCCGTCGCTATGCCACTGAGCATGTCGGAGGAGATGTCAACAGCACGATAGCACACTTCGGAAACGAAAAGGCAAGATGTTCCACGAGAGGCTTACGTGTCGCAAGCGTGGCACGACAAGGCACGCCCTTGATGCTTTGAGTGACGGTCCAGCGCGTACGTGCCACGTGTTGTTTGAGACCCTTGATTTTGCTGAGCTGCATGTTACACCATCCGCACTAATAGGTAGGAAGGGCCTCTTGGGCAAGAGCTCGAAGGAGGTGTTGGGGGGTCCGTGACGGGCTGTGGGACACTTGCATCATGCGTCACCTTGACGGCCTCGATCTCGGCCACGAGCGCTAAGGCATTCCTAGTAGAGCGGGCCACATGGGCCCTAAGTGCGTCTTAGAGCAGCCTTCCACCGGGGAGCAGAGGCCATAATATCTTGCCCTCGCGCCTTAAAGATCCTCGCGGGGCTTGGCGAAGTCTTTGAAGGCGGGCTGGCGGTGGCGAAGTCACTATGCGTCGTCAAGCACTTGGTGTGCCCACGGGGCCTGGTAATGATGCGCGCAAAACCAGATTCGCGCCAGCAGGTGCTCTGGCCCGTGGCGCATAAGCCTGCCGAACAGACGCAGCCTGTGCATCCTCAAAACAGACTTCAAATGCGGGCGTTCCGCCGAAGCCGGGATCTGTGCAAACGTGGCAGCCGTGGCGTGTTTTTCTCGGTCTGCGGGTTGGTTGCGTCTCGAAGCATTCCTGCGTGGCCGTTGCTGAGCTGCGCAGCTCGGTCATGGGAAATCTCTGGCAAGGTGCTTGCTTCGCACAACCGACTGGAACCCAAGAGATATTCAACCAAGACGAGGCCGATGCGATGCGCGAGGTGCTCATCCCGAACCAGACTCATGAACTTGTGTTCTGCTCCGACGTGCGAGCTCTGGGCCCAGGGATCCAGCTTCATCTAATACAGTACCGAGATGTGTAGACTGCCTGACTGCACACAGACACGATGGCCCGCGCAGCCTCGAGACAAACAATAGAGACCCAGACCAGCTGTGCCAGAGCGTGCGTTTAGCTGTGTCCGAACCTCCCCCCCCCCTGAACTGGAACAGCACGGCCGTTTTGCCTTCGGCAGCGCGCAGCCTGGCGCCCCCGGAGCCGAAGGCGTCGAATATGATGGCGGCGGCGAGCGGCGCGAGCCTGAGCAGTGTATCTGGCTTGCTTTAGAACATGAACATGGCATTGTCAAAGAAGGCCAGGTCCATTGTAAAAAGTAGAAATTGTAGAGGGCACAGCTACACGGGTGTGACGCGTGCGCGGGCAGACTTGTTGTTAGCCCATGTCACTCGCAGGTCGACACCGAGCTCTACTAGTGCGGTCTGTGCTTCGCAAGTGATCATGGGCATCGCAAAGCTGTAGATCGCGTCTCCTAGCTGCCAGCCTGATCTGGAGCCCAACTGGGGAAACACAGTGCAGGGGCCTCCCAGCACGATGGGCCAATTGGACTGGCACGAGTCGGCAGATTTGGGCGCGGGGCCTTTGAGGGAACCCAGGAGCTTGCATGATAGGGCCATGCTGCTGGATGTACTGCACCAGCTCGTCCATAGCGTCGGGGGGCAGCCCAGGTCCAGTCCTCGTCCGACGCTCCAGTCTCGAAAATGAGCTCCCGGACTGTTTTGCAAACCGCGTCCGATGGCAGAGACAAGGCAGACTGGCCCGCGGCGACGCCCAGCTGCTGGAACAGACGCAACTCCAGGGCGGCAGAGTCCGCGCACCCGTGGGCGACACCACCGACACCGGCGGCGGTTTAGGCCCATGCGAACGAGAATGCGAAACCCCCTGCCGAATTGCGAAGACCCCAGGTTCGCTCGGGCAGCCCTTTTTGAATAGAGGGCAATGGTAACCTCCTTTTCCATTGCAGAGGCTGTTTTGCCCTAAGTTGAGTTTCGAGGAAGAGAGGGCGCAGGATGGGGGCGATGTCCAGGGCGAGCTTGCGAACCATGTTGCCAGTCAACCCATCGGGGCATGCTGCCGACGGACGAGCACGTTTGAGGCTACATAAAACTTGAGTGAGCGCGTATAAGTCCCCCGAATCGAAACGGGCTTGGTCCAGGAAGGCCTGGGGGCCAAGGTTGGGATCTCCGATTCAAGTCGCTCGAGGTCCTGGAAGGGGGCGACTGTGCCAGCTTCGACGCCCGCAAAGTCCTGCGTCCACGCGTCAGCTGTAAGGGCCTCGGACTCTAGAGGCTTGCCGTCGTAGCCGAGGGGGGCGGGAAGCACCCGTTGCCCAATCTGCTTGGGCCCAGCTCCTATGGCTCGCAGCCGGCGGAAGGCCTGCATATGATCGCGCCTGGACATGCCCTTTGCGATCTGCTAGACATGATCCCTCGCATCGAATCTCAGCTGCGCGTTGACTATCTTAGTAGAGAGGCGAAGGCACGTGTATCTCATAACCTGGAGTACCTTAGCACCAATGGCCAGCTGGGTAACGCTGTCCCGGCAGTTTTCCGCAGAGCTCTAATCGATGAACCCCAAGAGCTCGAAACGCTTAAGTAAGATTTGGCAGGTCATGCCAGCTTGGCATTGATAAGGGTGGAGCTTGATTTGTGGATCCAAGGAGGCCCCGTAGTGGCACCCGAAATAGCCGCGGCCAATCATTTTCTCCAAGACTGCGACCCAGAATCCAGAGGCCGATACGCGTATGTCCACTCGTCAAGCCCAAAGGAATACCAAATGCCCCCAACCGGAGTAGTCCAGACACGGGAAGCTGTAGCCAAACATACCCGACGCCACGAATGATGGGCGCCTCGAGAATGCCGAAGGATGTTGGGTTTCACGTCCATGTTGTCCAGGGCCAGAGTAGATACCCAAGATTGTTTAGGTTTCCTTCCTTTACTGGTTAACTTCGAGGAAAGGCGGCTGCGATAGCTTGCTGAAGGAAGTGTGACACTTGCTGACAATGATCCGCTGGATGTGTGGCACAGTCTGGCATAAGGGGCGTCACGAAGCAACGATTGAACAACTTGGTGCTCCCCTGGCACGTCGAAGGCAGCACCGTCCCAGAGAATACGTGGGTAAGCGCGCATAGCCTGGGAGGTCGACTGCATGGGAATCCTTGCAGACATCGAGGCAGCCTTGTGATCTGTGATGCTGACTGCCAGCTCTATGTCGTGCGCGACTAGAGCTTCGCTGACAGGTTTGCACACGACGTAATCGATGCGCTTGCCCTGACGAAATTCTTGATGCTTGGGAGGCAACCGCCTGGCTCCGCTGGACCCAGTCGAGCCTACTGAAGTGGCAGGGGCCCATCAGCCCCGCTCCAGCAACATGCGATGAAGGAAAGAACCCAGGGAATTCTCGAATTCAGCTTCGACAGCCCCGCGGCTGCTGGACTGGGGGGGGAGGAGGGAGGATAGAGGAAGGAGGGAGGGCGTGGGAGGGGGAGGCGGGGGGAGGGCGGGAGGGAGGTCGTTGGAGGAGGAGCGAGGGGCGCGGTGCAGGCGCGGTCTCCACAGATGGGCAGAGCGCTGCTGGCCGCCTTCGTTTGCGCGGCGTGCCTGGGCCGCCCTGCCGGCTGGGCTCTCCACGCGCTTGGGAGGAGGGAGAGCGAGAGTCAGAGAGAGAGAGAGAGACCAACAATAGAGACACACAGAGAGAGAAAGCGAGAGAACAACAAAGGAGACAGAGAGAGAGAGAGCACAACAAGAAGAGAGAGAGAGAGAGACACAGAGAGAGAGGGACCCAGCGATGCGGACGATGCCCACGGCGCCAGCCGCAATCGGCTGCTCGCCAAAGCTCGCCTTGGGGCCAAACGCAGGTCACAGAGAGCAGGGGTTCTGTGAAGCAGCCTCCCGTTGCGCCTGAACGGCTGAACGATCAGAGCGGCGTCGCGGACAGACGGGTTGCAGCTTGGCTGGCCAGTGTTGGCGTGCTGGCGCCCGCAGCTTGCAGTGCCGTGCGAAGAGCAGACCCTACGCGGGCAAGCGCGGGACCGCGGACAGGCTGCCAGACGTCACGCGGGGTGCAGAGAGGATAACAGTTCGAAGCACGCGCGAGGACGTCTCAGAGCGGCGGACGCAGCTTGCACCGCAAGGGCGAGGGAGCGCGAGGGCTCCAGTCCGCTCAGGCGTTATCGTTGAGTCGTCGCGGGCAGCGCGCGTAGACGAGCGCCCAGTGGGGCAGTGGCAGGTCAGACTCCCGCCACTGCGGGAAGGCAGACGCGTGAAGCGGCGAGGCGGTACCCTCGTGGTGACTGGGTCGGGAGCCCGAGGGGCCGTAAAGCCCGACGTGGAACACGGCGGAGGACGGCAGCAGCCACGGCGGCGAGAGGCCTTGGCGCCGCAACCAGTAGTCGGACGTGCGGCTTCTCGTGGTGGCCCCGTGGGAATACCAGGCGGGAATCGCGTGTGCAGCATGGCGGCAGCAGGCGCCCACGGCAGCTTCGCCCGCTTCGCCGCGCGGGAGGCCGAGGACCTCGTCGAGGCAGGAGGCCTCAGGGCTCTGGCCTCGGAGGTTCTCCGTGTCGTCGGGGCGGGCTGGGAATCGTTCTCGGAAGGGCGGGTGGATTTCCGAGCCTTCTGAGGAGGCCCGCCCCTTCTCATTTCCCCCCCCTCCCCCCGCTTGCCGCCGATCTTGGGGCGTGTCGGGGAGTGCAGCTCGCGGGAGCGGAGGTCGATGCACCTGGCGGCCGACAGGGGTCCGTCGGCGGCCGCGGGTCGGCTCCCAGGTCCGCGAGTCCTGAGGCCTTGGCACCGCTCCGGCGTGTGCACTTTTGTCGGCGAGGACCCTCGAGGAGCACCCTCGACCCCTGGAAAACAGCGCACGCGCGAAACCGAGCGATGCACGGGGAAGGAACGTCCGAGCGACGGCGAGGGGGGGCGGGGCGGGTGGCGGGGGAGGCGGCGTGCGGCGGGCCGTGTGGACGGGCAGCCCCCAGGAGGAGAGGGAGTGGAGGCCGTAGACACTGGCCTGGAAGGCCGCGGATGCTCGTAGGGGGTCGCATGTCGGGCGAAGAGAATTATGCACATGCACCGATCCTGGCAAGGCCCATCCTTGACCCAGGATCGGTGCATATGCCTTCCTGGCCAAGGCAGGAGGGCGTATGCACCGATCCTGGGCTCAGGATGGGCCTGGCCAGATTCGGTGCATGTGCATAGTTCTCTTTCCTCTAGCATGGGGGGCCGTGTGGCCTGCCAACGGCGTTCGCGACGGCGATAGCAAGTAAGAACGGAAGATCGCACATAAAAACCAGTACGCAGCATTGTGTCGAGCATGCACTTGCTGTGGTCGCATGCCGCTGCCATTTTCACTCGGGTCCTGACGAGCCCCAGCAGGGGCGAAACGTTGACACGCGTACTGAAAAAGGCACGGGTTGAGAGCGCCATACGAGTAAGGCCACGCGCAGAGAATGCGCGTGCCTTGTCTACAGATGTGAGGTTGGCGCCTTCTAAGAAGCAGCCTCATTCTAAGAAGCTGATTCCCCCTCCTCCATACCCTTGTGCGCGCCGCCAAAATTGGGAGACGGGCCAGCCGCTGGGGCTGGTGCAGGGGACAGCCCTTGGCTGTGCGTGTCGGTTGCGCTTGTTGTCCCATGGGATGGTGCCTCCAGAAGGACAGCGTGCTGGTGCAGCCACATTTCAGCGTCGTCGGGGTCGTCCACGTGGTCGCTCCTCCTTGGCGATGGGGCCAGGGCGGCCCGACGTGCCAGGTAAGGAAGGAAGGGCGGTGGGGACGTGGTGATGGCGTCGGGGCTGGTGCATCAAGGAGGCCAGCGTGCTTGTGCAGCTGGCTGTCGTCGTCGTCGTCGTCGTCGTCGTCGTCGTCGGGCTCGTCCTCGTCGTCATACCATCTCATGCTCCTCGGGCTGCCTAGGGGCCGGGTGGGCCGGCAAGAGAGAAATATAGAGAGACAGACGGAGAGAAAGAGCGAGAGAGAGAGAGAGAGAGGAGGGAGGGATAATATGAGAGAGAGAGAGAGCGGGAGAGAGGGAGAGAAAGAGAGAGAGAGAGAGAGAGACAGAGAGAGAAAGAGAGAGAGAGAGAGCGAGAGAGAGAGAGAGAGAGACAGAGAGCGAGAGAGAGAGATGGCAAAATAGAGCGAGAGAGAGAGAGAGAGTGCGAGAGCGAGAGAGAGAGAGAGAGTGGACACTTAGACGGCGGTTCCGCCACAGCCGGCAACTGCAGTTGCCAGCTCCGCAGAAGCACACTTAGCGGTGGTGCCCACCTTGGGGTACGGTGGACATTGAAACAATCACCCCCCCGCGCAAACCGACTGGAGTAGCAGGCGGGGTGCTGAGCAGGCGATGCGCAAGAGAGGCAGAGAGAGGGCGAGAGAGAGAGAGAGAGAGAGAAAGAGAAAGATACCTCCCCCGCCTCTGCTTCGACACACAAGCAAGTCATACCGCGCACTTCTAAATTGGCAGCGCGCGCGCCCCCCCTCTCCGCATTTCACAGCAAAGCCACGGGATCCCCAGATAACGTATCAAGCGACGCTTGGCGTCGTGCCAGGGAACTTGGCGCCATGCTGCAAGCGCTTCAGTCGCACTGGAATGTTTTGGGATCGTGCTGTAATAATCTGGTAGCATACCGGGAATTCTTGGTATTGTCCCACACGCGTTAGGTATTAGATAGAATTCCTGTTTTTGTCGTCCTTTTTACGCTTGCGGGCCAGGCCGAAAGTCACTTGGCATTAATCTGGACGCCTTTCGTATTTACCAAGGCGTGCCGGTATTATGCCAAAGTATTGATTGGTTCGACATTTGGCGTCGTTCAGAGCAACGTGTGGAAGTTCGGGGTTCGGCAGTGCGAAGGGGCGGGAGGCGCGCGAGAGTCCTTTGAAGCTGGGCGGGCATGCGGATCGTGTGCTGGCGTACGAGGTCACCGTCACGCTGTCCGTGAGCAAGCTGGTCTTGCTTGGCTCGCATTTGGCAGCGAGGGTCGTCAAAAGCGAGGTAGTTGCTTTCGCCTCACGAAGCCATCTTAGACGTCTTGGGCTGTCCTGGAAGCCTTTGGGGCCGTTTTGATACGATCCTGGGCCAAGCTCGGGCCGGGGCCCTCACGAGGCGATTTTCGGCGTCTCGGACCGTCTTGTAGTCCTCTTGAACCTTCTTGGTGCCATTTTGGGCCGTCTTTACCCACCTCAGGCCAAGCTCAGCCTCGGGCTCAGGCCATCGGCAATCTTAGGCGTGATGCGCCACGTGTGAAAGCTTGTTCTCCAGCGCACACATGTACAAGGTTTTCATGATCTGACATGTTCCCTTTGTCTCCGCGCCTTCCCCTCGTCCCTTGTTCCTCAATTCGCTACGAATGCGCCCCGCCGTCGTTCGACTGCCTCCGAGACCCCATTCGCCGCTGACCAACGTCTTTTTGCTTGATCCTCCTCCTTCTGACCTTCCTCGTGCGTCATGTGATTGGGGGGGGACCCCTTCCGTAGAATTATAGCATTGGTTTGCAGATCCACGGGCCCGTGGATTTGTTTTCGTGCGGATACACATAATCAACCGCGTACCCGAGATAAGACCCCCCATCCAAGACCTGAAGTGGACTATCCCTGGCCAGCACAGATTATGTCGGGGAATAGGGGCGGCGAGGCCGAACTTCATCATCGCTGGGAAAAAGTACGGGTCGAAATTGCTATGCCCGTATTGTGCGTAACGGATTCCATTACTCGTGTTTCGATGACACCAACACTTATCCTTACTGTGGGTACTACTATTACTACTGCTGCTGCTACTGCTACTACGACCACTACTACTACTACTACTACTACTACTACTACTACTACTACTACTACTACTACTACTACTACTACTACTACTCTACTACTACTACTACTACTACTACTACTACTGCTGCTACTACTACTACTACTACTACTACTACTGCTACTACTACTACTACTACTACTACTTCGGCTACTTCTACTACTACTACTACTACTACTACTACTACTAGTACTACTACTACTATTTCCTAATGCTTCTACGACTACTACGGCTACTACTATTTGTAATACCACTACTACCACTACTATTGTTCTCCCACCATCGTGTATTACCACGACTACGACCACTACCACGACTACTACTACTACTACTACTACTACTACTAGTACTACGACCTACTACTACCACTACTGCTACTACTACTACTACTACTACCACTTCTATTACTACTACGATCGCTACTACTACTACTACTACTACTACTACTACTGCTGCTACGATCGCTACTACTACCAGTACTATTACTATTACTACTACGATCGCTATCACTAGTACTACAACTACGACTACTACTATTACGATCGCTACAACGACTACTTCTACTTGTACTACGACTACGACCAGTACTACGACTACGACTACAACCAGTACTACGACTACTACTGTTTTACGACTACTACCACTACCACCACCACCACCACGACCACGACCACGATTACTTCTACGATTCCGATGAATATTAGTATTGCTATTGCTACTACTACTACTACTACTACTACTACTACACTACTACTACTACTACTAGTACTACTACTACTACTAATACTACTACTACTACTACTACTCCTCCCACTACTACTACTACTACTACTACTGCTACTACTACTACTACTACTACTACTACGACTACTGCCACTACTACTTCGACTGCGACGTCTACCGCTACTTACCATTACTATGACAACCACTACGACTACGTCTACTAGAGCTACTACTACTACTACTACTACTACTACTACTACGATTACTACTACTACTACTACTACTACTACTACTACTACTACTCCCGCTACTACTCCCACTACTACTACTACTACTACTACTACTACTACCACTACTACGACTACTTCTATTATTATTACTACTTTTGCTACTACCCTCACTACCACCACGACTACTACTTTTGCGACTACGTCTGCGAGTACTATTACTACTTCTACTTTGACGAGTGCTAGTGCTACGACTATTTTTATACTGCCGCTGCTTCTTCTTCTTCTGCTGCTACCACTACTACTACCACCACTACCAGCGCCTTTTTTCTTACCGCGACTATTACTACAACTAGTGCCAGTACAGCTGTTACGACTCATGTTCTTATTACCGGTGTCACTACCGCTACTACCACTATTGCTACTACTACTTTTTTGTACTACTGCCAGTACGATAACTACGATTACGACTACTACCACTACTACTACTATCACAATTACCTCTACTACTACTACTACTACTACTACTACTACTACTACTACTACTGATGTTACTATTGCCGCTACCTTTCTGACTTCTGATACCCCACTGCTGCTAGTATTACTGCTACTACCACTACTGGTATCGTTCTTTTTGTTATTTTTACGATTAGTAGAACGCGACAATTACGACTACCACTGCTTCTTCATATTATTAGTATCATTTGTTGTACGACTGACAGTACTACCACTACTGCTACTACTACTACTACTACTTCTCGCTTCTACGACTGGCAGTACTCTTACCACGGCTACTGCTAGTAGTAGTAGTAGTAGTAGTAGTACTACTACTACTACTACTACTACTACTACCACTACTACGGCTACTTTTACTACTACTACGATTACTACTACTACTACTACTACTACTACCACTACTACTACTACTACTACTACTACTACTACTACTGCTGCTACTGCTACTACTGCTAATACTACTACCACGATTAATGCGAACACTGCTACTACCAACGCCACCGCCCTTACCAAGACTACTACGACAACTACCACGCTGACTGCGATTACTGCGGCTACTATTATTATTACTATCATTGCCATTCCTACCACTACGACTTCTATCACTACTGCTGCTGGCGCTGCTGCTACTACTGCTGCTGCTGCTGGAAGCACGGGTCGCTCCTCTTGACCTCCTTTCATCTCTTCCTTACCCTCCCCTCCCGCAGCATTTTGTGCGCCCGTGGCTGGTGACCAGCGCAGCCCGCCCACCATGAGTTTCCTCCCACACGCATGCATTTTTCTACAAGCAGCAGCAGGTTTCACAAAAGGAAACTTGGAGATAACGCCTCCCTCCACTCTCCTTTCCTCCCTCCTCTCTCACCCTCCTTCCCCTTCATTCCCTGTTCCCCCTCTTTACTATCCTGCACGACTACCACTACTGCGACTACTACTACTATTACTACTACTACTACTACTACTACTACTACTACTACTACTACTACTACTACCACTACTACTACTACTACTACGACTACTACTACTACTACTACTGTTACTACTACTACTACTACTACTACTAGTAGTACTATTAGTACTACTACTACTACTACTACAACTACTGCTACTACTACTACTACTACTACTACTACAACTAGTACTCCTACTGCAACTACTACTACGACTACGACTACTACTCTTACTACTACTACTACTACTACTACTACTACTACTACTACTACTAGTACTACTACTACTACTACTACTACTATTACTACTACTACTAGTACTACTACTACTACTACTACTACGGGAATATTAATACTACTACTACTACTTCTACTACTACTACTGCTACTACTACTACTAATACTACTACTACTACTATTACTACTACTACTACTACTACTACTTGTACGACTACTACCACTACAACTATCTCTACTACTACTGCTACTGCGATTGCGACTGGCATTATTACGACGGCTACTACTACTATTTCTAAGACTTTCACTCCTATGGCCACCTCTACGACAACGACTACTACCACTACTACTGCTATTATTACGACTTCTGTTACTACAGTGGCTATCCGTATGCGTGTTATCACTACCAGTATTATTACTACGACTACGCTTACTCCTACTGACACGACCCACCACTAGTAGTACGACCTCTACCAGCACGACATCTGCGACGACTACTATTACTACTCCTGCTGTGATTACGACTACTTCGGCTACTACTACTAGTAAGAATGATATTGCCATTGCAACGGCTACGGCGTTTCCTACTGATGCTACAACTACTATTACGACCACCATTGCGATTACTTGTTTTATTTCGGCTACCACAATCTCCATTATTACGACCACCACTACGACCACGACCGCGACCATAGTATGCACGGCATCTATTATGAATATTATTGCTACCACAACAACCACAACTACTATCATATTGCGACTACGACGGCTACTACTACGACGTCTACTACTACAAGGAGGACTAAGATTTCGTTGTATTACTACTACTACTACTACTACTACTACGACTAGGGCGTCCGCTACTACTCTGACGGCTACTACTGCTACGAGTACCACCGCTGCTGCTATCACTAAAACGCGTGTTGTTGCTACGCGTGCTACCACCACTGTGTATACACTTCGTACTACGGCTCTACTGCTACTGCTACTACTACTACTACGACGACGACGACGACGACTACTACTACTACTACTACCACGACTACTACTAGTATTACGATTGTGATCACAATTGCCACTACGACTCGTATTACTGCTACCACTACTACCACGTCGATCACCACGACTACTAATCTGTAGGAATACCACCAGTACTCCTGTTACCACCTACGACGACTACTACCATCACTACTACGAGGACGTCTACTACTACTTACTTCGACCTCAAGGCTTACTATTTCTCGACTGCTACTACCACTAGTGCTACTAGTACTGCTACTACTACTACTACTACGACGGTGACGACAACGACTACTACTTCTACTGCTACTTCTATTATTGTTTCTATTACTTTTCCTATTACTACTACGGCTCTTACTACGACCACTTCTACGACAAGTGTTATATTACGGCTACCACGGCTATCATTCTTATGACAACTACGTCCACCATTTCGAGTAATACGATGACTACTGCTACTACTACGGGTAGTACTACTACTACTGCTACTACTACTACTACTACTACCACTACTACTACTACTACTACTACTACTACTACTGCTACTACTACTACTACTACTATGATTACTACTACTACTACTACGACTACTACTACTACTATTACGACGACTATCATTACGACTACTACTACGACGATTAGAAGTACCATGAGTATCACTCCGAGGAAGACCAGAGGATGCCGAGGCCCTCCCGAGGAAACAATCGCCTTTGTTCATCCGTACATACGATTTGCCAGGACGATACATGTATGATCCACTCCGAGCCCCGATGATCAGACCCAACTGATACATGTATATATATATATATACATACATGCATATAGTTTTACAAACATATATATATATACTGGATGGCCAAGTGCATATGTACATATATAGGTATGTGTATATATGTATGTATACATATATATATACACACATAGAGATATCAGCCATCGAGTGGTGCGAGCCACCAGACTCTGGCAAACACGTAATGGGATTCAATTGGATCCGTTGTCTTCTACGCAGTATGACGCAATGCCAGACAGCGTGAACCCGAAGCACTGTGTTCTGGCAGGCTAGGTGATATAATAGACGCGGGCCTATGTGGGGCCGTCTCGGGCGCCTGTGGGGCAATGTGGGGGCGGTCTTAGGCCGTGTTGGGGCCCTCGTCGGAAAGCCGAGAGAGCGAGAACCCCTGAATCCTCCAACCGTGTGGTGTTTTCGGGGACCTCTTGGAGGCCTCTTGGAACGCCTTGGAAGCATCATTGCGCAATCTTGAGACCATCTTAGGCGTATTCGAGCGGTCGCTCGGCGACGCAAGGCCCTAAGGGCCCCCTGGGAGCATGGCCGGTGCACGCAGCGAGGTGCGACCCAGAGAGGGGAGCGCCTTAGAAGATCACTCCACCCCTACTAGACAGCTTTTGGCATTATACCACGCCTCGACGTGCCAAGGGGGCACGGTGACGGACCGGACACACAGCATGAGGTTTTCAGTTGCTTCGCGTCCCTTTTTGTTGCAAGCCCATGGGGGCATAAGCTGATCACCATGCATGCCAGCACTTCTCGGCACATTTTCTATCACGCGTTCGTCGGTCCCTCTCTTCGGTTTATTCCTGCTTGTTTTAAGATGTTCTTCGGTTCCTGTTCCTCGTTCGGTCGTCCCCACTCCCACCTGCACGGCGCAGCCAGCGCATCATCTGGGCCTGCTGTATGCTGCTGCGCTGACTGCACCCAAGTTGCTGCGCCATGCCGTTGTCGGCAAATCTGTTTTCTCGCCCCACACACCTTATGGGACATCGGCTCGTGTTTGCACACCGTCCAAACAAGCGAGCCTCTGGGTGGAGTGTTTTCAGGTCCCTTCGGATCTTCGGATTGGGAGACATGTGCAAGGAGGAGAGGTGGAGGGGAGGAAGGAGGAGGCAGATGGAGAGGACCAGGAGGAGGAGGAGGAACAGGGACGAGGGAATGGGAGGATGGGGAGGGGGGAGGGAAGGGGAAGGAGTGAGAGGGAGACGGGGGAGGAGGAGGAGGATGACAGGAGGAGGAGGAGGAGGAGGAAGAGGAGGGGGAGGGGAGGGGGAGGAGGAGGAGCAAGAGGGGGAGGAGGAGGAGGAGGAAGAGGAGGAGGAGGAGGAGGGCAGGAGGAGGAGGACGAGGAGGAGGAGGAGCAGGAGGAGAAGGAGGAGGAGGGAAGGAGGGCAAGGACGAGGAGGAGGGCGAGGAGGAGGAGGAGGAGAAGGAGGAGGGCAAGGACGAGGAGGAGGTGGGCAAGGAGGAGGAGGAGGAGGAGGGAGAAATTGGCGGGGAGGAGGAGGAGGAGGAGGAGAGAGGAGGAGGAGGAGTGAGGAAGAGGAACAAGACGCCGGGGAGAAGGAGCGCTTGGCGCGCGCCTTCCTCCCCCCCCTCTCCCGCCAAGAGGTTCAGCACCGCGCCCAGCGCTCGCCCCGCGCCCAACGCTCGCCCCTCGCGGGCGGCCGGGCTGCAGGCGGCGCGCAGCACCCCCCGCGGCCGTCCAGGCCGTTGGCCGGGCGGCAGGCGGAGGCGTTCGAGAAGGCCTCGCGAAGGGGGGGTCGTCCTGCATAGAAGGCCCCCCCTCCTCCTCCTCCTCCTCCTCCTCCTCCTCCTCCTCCTCCTCCTCCTCCTCCTCCTCCTCCTCCTGTTAGCTGCCTCGATACGCCTATTTTGATACGCAACACGTACCGTGTTCAAAACGTCCGTGTCAACACGCTGCGTGTTGGTTCAGTGTGTTGGCCCACGTTTTGGCGAACGTATCGCTTCAGACCCATGTTTCAGTCTACGTGTTGAGCTCCGTATCCATACGCTACGTGTTGCGTGTTGCGTATCGGGGCAGCGAAGGGGGTACCAACACCGCTGCCTTTCCCTTGCTTACCCCTTCTTGAACCTCCGGGGATTTCCTTGCTGGCAAGCAAGCGCGTTCTTTGGCTGAATGTCGCGCTGGGGAACAAATGGGAGACCCTGGTCGCCACCGCTGGATTCGCTTGGTTATCTGGTTCGCACACACTCTGGGAGAGGGCCGTAGAGTAGCGATATCGGTACCTCCGGGTTTTCCCAGTCTTCCCCAAGGGGAGTGTCAACAGCTTGAAGCGCCCTATGTTTGTCAGCATCGTCCCTCGATGCCGATCATGGCGGTTCCCGCTTGCGCCATATATGGTGTCCTACCCGTACTCTGTTCTTTTCTGTTCGCTTCTCACTTACACCTATCTCTGCACACGTATATATATATATATACACATTATACAGAAGTACTAAACATATTGATATATTCAGACTTTCGAGGGCAGACACTCCCACGACACACGTTGTACACACGGAGTTGAGCTCCAGCTAGGCAGAAGCTTGGCCCACAGCTTTGCCAACGCGGTTGCGAGCAGCGCCTTTGGCTATGACGTGGGATCGGCCACTGCGTTGCACAGCTCGGCGAAGCTCTCTGTCGGCTTTGTTGAGGAGCGTTACCTTGGCTGGAGGCAGTCGTCGGCAGTGCCAGAGCACCCACTCACTACATCGAGGGCGGCGCCGGTCTGACAAATTTGCAAGACAGCGAACCCGCTGTATAAAATCGGTCTGGCAGCACGGGCAGACGGCCGAGTGAACGGATTCGCGGACAATATTGTGAAGGCCTTACGGCCGGTGCCGCCGACTCAGAAGGACGATCACGACGACGACCATGGCAACGACCACGACGAAAACGACAACGACGAGCTGATGACCCTGCCACAAGCTCGAGACATGGGGCGGGCGGCTGAGGGAGACATAGGAAGAGGCGGATGCGGAGGCAGAGAACAAGGAGGTGGCGGAGGTGGCGGAGGAGGAGGAGGAGGAGGAGTCCGTAGCCATGTTGGCCCAAGTTCAAATCGCTCGGCCGTGGCGGCTTGAGCTTGTCTGCAGCCAAGTGGCTGGCTCGAGAGTCCCAAGCGATTCCTGTATCCTTACCTCCAGCCCGTCTTCTTGCACGCCCCTCTCCGCTGTCCATCATCGGCGCGCATCATGAGCGGACAGGAGGCCCGACAATCCCCGTCACACGCGTCGACGGCGTCCACTCCGAGAGGAGAGGCCGAGACGCCCCCGGCCAAGGTCGCCCCCGCGCTGGGGGAAACTTAGCGCTTCTAGCGCTGCTGCAGGATCATCCGGCATGCTGCTACGGACCGAAACCGAAAAAAAGTTTGCGGATCGTGTTGTCGAAGGCCTTGGCCACGTTAAGAAACAAGACGAATATCGGTTTTCGGGCGAAGGTAATGAGCATCCGCGCAACGATGGGCCAAAGACGCGTAGTCAGTACCGCGCCTAACCACAGCTCCATACTGGGACTGTGGGATGTGAGTGGCGTACGTGGTGTCGATGACCCCCTTGATGACAGAGGTCAGCCTGTTCGCGCCATGGCCAGCCAGCTGGATGCCCCGGTCGTTGTCACGCACCGTGGCGGCGCATTTCTTTTCGGATACGTTCCGCGCGCGACCGCCGCGCCACAGGACAGGCCATGCTCACTTATGCCTGCAGCAAGCGGTTCGGCAGGTATGCGATCGCGTTCGACTCCTTTGTTGCGTCCGAGCCGTGCGAAGGACAGTTGCAATGCCTCGGGCCCAACGTCGAGCTTGGCGGCGGACAGGGTGCAGGGATCACGCGGAGCTTGAAGCAACGCTGTAGTGGACGTGATGATGTGGCCACTGTACACTTTGGCGTCGTGTTCAGTCCATCTCTTCGTCAATATTGACTGGATTGATGGCGAAGGTTCCTCCGAGTTTCTCGACTGCCCGGCTGTCGCGGGGGTGCGCTCCAGATAACGAACTGACCACCGAGTGCGCGGTGCGGACTCAGATGAGCATGCAGCATTGATATTGGTAGTTTTCAGGATTTTCAGGTTTTCCATTTTCGTCCGCGCGGGTTCCAGGGACAAATGGTCGAGCGCATTCCGTCGCGCAGGTCCTTTGAGTGATGCGCGCGGTGCAGTTTTCGCGCATCGGAACGCCCTCGGAGATTCCAAGCTGCATTATGTTTGGCAGCCCGTGAGTCGCAGCTGCCGTGACGCGATTTTCGAGTTAACCCCTCCGAGTGCTGTTCGCTGGCGCAGGGCGCGGCGCGCGCTGCGCCCAATCGCACGCGGCGCGGCGCGTGGATTTGCCGGCCGCGCCCGTCGGACCGCCCGGACTTGATTTCCGGATGCAGAATGTTTTGTTCTCTCTTTTTTTCTGATTTATATATACACATATATAAGAAGAGAAATATAACCTTCAGGTCGTGTGGCGCAAGCAGTTCCAGAAAGTTTCAAACATGAGTGTGGACATTTTGAACCATGGAAAAAACAAGTCTTGAGAGGTGGAACGCGCCCGCCGCGCTTGACATCTGAAGGATTCTGGAATCCGGATGTTTGTCTAAATGGGTCCAGACTTTTCAAAATCGATTGTGGAATTTGTCAAAATCGATTGTGGGATTTTTCAAAAAGTAGGCCAGACATGTTTTCAAAAACGTTTCATTTTTTTGAAGTGCCCCCAGAGAATTGTCCAGAGTCGTTCCTGATTTGCCTGACCAGCTCTTTGGGAATCCGCCGAGGAGCGCGGCGGCGGGCGACAGGACGGTGCGCCACCGTCCCCCCCGCGCTCGGCAACGAAAAGGGGGATCAGCAAGTGCCAAATAACCCCCCCTTACGGGCGACTACTCGATTGCGACTGGCTGACTGACCAGCGGCGCCAGGCAGAGTAGTCAATATTCGACGCAAAGTGTACCCCGCGCAAAAAGCTGTTAGAAATCCGAGGGAACGTAACAACAGCACGCTGTGTCAATATATTCATCTCGTCCTAGAGTCCGCCTGGTCCAGCGCGCGGTCGCGGACGCGGACGCATGTCCCAGCAGATTTGAGCCCCCCCAAAGGGCCCCATCGTGTTATGCGCAATTTGAAATAGGTAGACGCGTACAATGGACGAGGAGGTGACAGATGACCAAGAGGATGCGCAGCAGGAGTGGGCGAGGAGGAGGAGGAGGAAGAGTTCACGAAGGCCCTGCGGGGCGGGGGGGGCGTCCTCCCCGATGAGAGGGGGGAAGGGATAGCAGAGAGGGAGGGGGAGCAGGAGAAGGAAACGGAGGGCAGAGAAATCGAATGATGGAGCAGGATCATATTTTACATCAAAGGGCAGTTGCCGACGATGCGATTCAAAGGCCTGGCGAGGTGCAACAGAAGGGGCGTCCTTGCGCTCAGAGACAAGTTTCGAGCTTGATCTCCCGCGAGAGAGCAATCTTGTCCCTGGGGTTCGGGGCAGTCTTCTTTCGGGTTCGGGGCTTCGAATCCATGGTAAGTGCACGACGAAAATTTTCTGGGCAATCGACAGATAGTCCAAGAGAGGAGGATGTACAAGTGCCATGGCTATCGTGAAATGTGTGCGATCGTCCCGGTTGTTTCTTTGGGGGGCGCACGCCGCACATCCATTCTTATACGAAGCATTATGGTCAAGATGACCACCGCTGTCCACCCCGTCGGAGCAAGGAAACCATGTCCGTTAGAGGAGGAGGAGGAGACTGAGGAGGCGGAGGAGCAGGAGGAGGAGGAAGAGGACGGCCTACTGGTAGCGACAGGCATCGGTAGCCGCCACTAGCAGTAGCCTGCCCGTAGCCACCATTACCAATATGAACGCATCGTTTTGCACGCGACGTTCCTCCAATTACCAGGCACTGTTTTTGGGCAAAGGCTATCGTGCTGGACGGCGCGTGAAGGGACGCTACCGCTGTACTTACTCAACCGAGGCAGCAGCTGCCATTTAGGTTTCTTGATACGGGCATGAACATAATAGAACAGGAGGAGGAGGAAACGTCGGGGAGAAGGAGGAGGAGAAGATGGAGGGAGAAGGAGAAAGATGCTGTCCCATCGAGCCTCGGGTGCAAAGGGCACTGAGTGCGGCAGCCTCGCGCGGCGCCGTCCATCTGGGCACCCATGCTCCGAGGCCCGGGCAGGTACAGACAAGACGCTCAAGCAAGGACTTTTTCGGGCTCAGGAGTGGCTCTGGTGCTCTTACACTCCTTCGATCTAGGTCGGCGAGCCTTGTAGAATCCGAGGCACGCAGTGGTCAGAAAGGTCCCTTTAGTCCTTATTCTGATTTCCTTGCAGTAGCATTATGGCTGTAGTGGAAGGTGTGCGTTCGTTCTGATGGTTCCAGACTTGCGCAGGAGGGAGAGGAGGAGTGGGAAGTCGACGTTTTGTCTTGTTGGAGCTTTTGGTTTACTGTTGGGAACTTCGGCTCAGCGTGTTGCTCCGCCAGGTCTGCCCCACCACGCTGCGGCGCGACACGCTCTTCCAGGCCGCGTCACCAAGTGGCAACGTCCCAAGCTTTTGCGAGCTTCCCGCCTCGCGGAGAGGAGCGACACGCTATTCGTTTGCGTTCTGTGATCGCGATCAGTCTTTGCGCGTTTCAGCAAGCGCACGCTTTCTGTCGTGATGATCGCAGGGTTATCCCGTGAGGATGGTCAAGGTGCAAGCGAGACCAGTGCGGTGAACATCTGATCGTCCATATCACGCGGCCCGTTTCCCCTACCCTCGGATATGTTGAATGCGCTGGCCCCGTGACCGCGCTTGCCCCAGCGGCGATGTCGCATTTGCGATTGATTGCGCTCGGCGTCTCCTCATGTTGCGGCGCGGCTCTTTCCGACAGCGCGTTGAGGACGCTTGGCTCCGTTGGCCATGCTGTGCGCCAGCGCTCACAGGGCTCGTAGTGCCCCATTGATGTACGCATGCGCCGGCATCGCGTGTGTGAAGCGCCGGGGAGCAATTCGCTACCGCGCAGCCCGCCGTAGGTTCGACCGCGACGAGCTTCGTGTCGCTGCAGAAAGCAGGATTGTGAATTATGCAGACCTTGGGTTTTTGGACGAAGCGCCGTGGCGGTGCGGTCATCTCCTGCTCTTCTGCAGCCCCCTTCGCCCCCCGCAGCATTTCTGTCGTCTCCGACTCTACGAACGGCAGGATTCGTCCTCGTCGTCGTGGCCGTCTTCCTCCTCCTCCGACTCCGCCTCCTCCGTCCCCGTGCATCAGTCTCAGATCGAGAAACAACAAAAACACAACATAGCAATGACTGTTCAGAGGTCCGCTCGGATGTCTTGGAACTTTGCTGGGGCCCTCCGACGGTGTCTCAGATGCCGGCCTTAGCGCGCTCCGCGCGCAGGGGAGGTTGGTTCGGCACAGATCCGATGGATCCGTGCGGACCTCCAAAAGTTAGATGCTTACCGAGGCCTCTCTCCATGCCCAGTCCGCTATCAGCTGCCCAATCCGTGAAAACCACTCCGTAGCAGGTGCCCGCCAAGGGCATCGGCTGGGCCTACACCGTCGCGTGGCTGGCGACGATCGTCTGCTGGGGGCTGTGTGCCTGGGTCGCTCTCCCCGCCCTGCTCGTGCCCTCGCCTGGGGGACGTCCGCTGTCTTTGGAGGAGGAGAGGGAGGATGAGGATGAGGAGAGGGAGGATGAGGATGAGGAGAGGGAGGATGAGGAGGAGGAGGAGGAGGAGGAGGAGGAGGAGGAGGAGGAGGAGATGGAGGAGGAGGAGGAGGAGGAGGAGGAGGAGGAGGAGGAGGAGGAGGAGGAGGTGGAGTCGGCGGGGAGTCTGAGGTGGCCCGGCACTGGCCCCTGCGAGCAGGAAGGGGGGGGGGGGGCGAGGCTCCGAGGCTCTGGGTTCGGGGCTGTGGAAGAAAATTGGTCCGGACGGGCAAAGCGGCGGCAGAGGGACACGTGAAGGACAGCGTCAGGTGGGCCCCGGGGAGGGGCCCGCCCAGGGGCCGATTCTGAGCGGACCTGCCGTCATCCCCCCTCCTTCGACGAGCGCGTTTCACTACTCGCAAAGTAACTCTTCGCAGATGGCCTGGATCCCCCGCGGGGGATCTACGATACATTACATCAAAGCAGACATGTGTGTTTTCTAACTTTTGCGAGTAGGCACTATGCGAGTAGTGGAACGCGCTTGCCTACTCCTGACCGGTTTTCTCCGGGCGCTGCCAGCTCACACCCCCTGGCCGCCCTCCCCCAACTGGGGCGGCCGTTATCTTCCTCATCAATCCTGGCCAGGCCGATCGTGGAGAAACCAGCAACATGCCATAAACAGAATGCACTTGTTCTTTTTTTTATCGTTGTTTGCTCCTCGAGATCCTGGACCCGGGATCAGTGCATACGCCTTCATGGCCAGGCCAGGGGGCGAGCGCACCGATTTTGCGCCTAGGATTGGCCTGGTCAGGTTCGGTGAGGCGGATCGTCGGCATCACCCGCAGGGATGGGAAAGAGACCACCATTTGCTTTGGAAAAGGCAGCGGGGTGCGCACTCGACCTAAACAACTGCCTCCCTGGGGGTGGGCTGGGCCTCCACATCCGCATCTTGTTGGGCCCCACATCTTGTTGTACCCCTGCTGCCTGCGTTCCTGCCTGTAGCGGTAGACGAGCGGAAATGGAGGCAGAAGGTAGAATATAGAAAAGGGGTAAAAGAGGATGAGGACGGGGAGGAGGAGGGAACGGGAAAGGGAAAGGGGAAGGGATTGGAGGGGAGAAGGGGAAGGGGTAGAGCGACAGTCTGGGCGCCTCTGGGGGCCATCTTGGGGTGCTCTTGGGAGCCTTAGGAGCGCTCTTGGGGCCATCCTGGAGGAGCTCGATCAACGAAGAGGCGTTCCCCAATTCGCCCCCCCCTCCTCCCCCTTTTGTCAGCCCCAGAAGTCGCCTCTTGGGGCGCTCGCTCTTGGAGCGCTCTTCTACGCTCTTGGGGCCGTCTGGCGGCTCTCTTTGGTCTCTCCTCGGGCCCTCTTCGGCCATCTTGGAGCTATCTTGAGGCCTCGGATGGCCATCGGAAGCGGAAAGGCGAGAACGCAAACACATTGTGCTTTTCTCAGATGTTGGAAGGAGTTTGGCTTCTTGGAGGCCTCCTTGGAGGCCTCGGAGGCGTCTTGGAGCCGTCTTGGAGCGTTTTGGGGGGCTCTTGGAGCACAATGGGAGCCGGCTTGGGGCATCTTGGGGCATCTTGAGCCACCTTGGAGGCCATCTTGGGCTCTGTGAGGCCCTTTGGGGGCCATCAGAGGCGAAACCGCACCCTCTGACACCTCACGGGGCGCCCCGTCCAGGTCCAGGGAAAAAGGGGGCTCGGTGGAGGGGAAACCTCTTCCCCGAAGGGGAAGGAAGGGGGCTGGGGGTTGGAAGAGGAGCCTCCCTAGATCACCTACGCCCAGAGGGCTGGTTGGACTGGTTGATCCTCTGCATGCTCCCCTTCCCTGAAGGGGAAGAAGTGGGGCTGGAAGTGGAGCCTCCCTAGATCATCTACGCCCCGAGGGCTGGTGGGACTGGTTGATTCTCTGCATGCGTTCCCTTCCCTGAAGGGGAAGACAGAGGTTGGAAGAGGAGCCTCCCCAGATCACCTGCGCCCAGAGAGGGCTGGTGGGACTGGCTGATCCTCTGCATGCTTTGCCCCCCCCCCCCCCCCCCCTTTTGACAGGTCGCCCCTGTCGCGCTCGCCAAGCCCCACTACAAGGTGCCGGCGGTCCACGCCAGGTTCATGCTGGCGCAGGTGTGCATGCGTGCGCGCGCGACGGGTGTGGCGCGTTTGGGTTGCCAGCTGTAGCCAGCGCGTTGGTTTCGCTTGCAAAAGGGGTGCTTCGAGGGAGTAATGGAACACGCTGCAGGAGTAGGAGCAAGGGCTGGGGGCAGCAGCAGGGGCATGAGGCGGAAGAGGGAGGAGGACTAGGAGGGGGAGGAGGAGGACGAGGAGGAGGAGGAGGAGGAGAAGGAGGAGGAGGAGGAGGAGGAGGAGGAGGAGGAGCAGGAGCAGGAGCAGGAGCAGGAGCAGGAGCAGGAGGAGGAGGAGGAGGAGGAGAGTATGAGGCGGATGGGGCGGAGGGCGACTCGGATAGAGATTTCGATGGGCGAGGAGGGAAATATTGCGAAAGAGCAGGAAGACCTCGACGGAGGCTGCGGGGACGTGGAACGGGAAACTGGATGACGCGAGCGATGGCAAGTTGAAGGAGAGGAGTCATAAGAGACGGAAGCGGAGATGACGGATCATGATGGTGATAGGGAAACGGCGTGGATGAATCAGAGCAAGTGAAGGAGGTGCATTCGAAGCAGGCGGGGAAGGAGGATGGTGAGGGTGAGGACCAGCATGAGGAGGAGGAGGAGGAGGAGGAGGAGGAGGAGGAGGAGGAGGAGGAGGAGGAGGAGGAGGGGGAGAGGGGTGGAGAGATGATGATGAGGACGGGAATTGGGAGGAGGAAGAGGGAAGGATCATGAGGGAGAAGGAGGATGTAAATGAACTAGGAGCATTGGCCATGGAAGAGACGTGGGCTGAGGAACGACGTGCCAGGGGGAGGAGACGGGGAGGTTGAGGGGGATGAGTGGAAACAGGACGGGGATATGATTATGGATGGTACAGTATGTGGTGCGCGAGTTGCTGCGTTAAGGCCTTGCACGCGACTAACTTCTGATGCATACGAAGGTGCGTCTCCAGCGGGCGGTCATCTTCCACGTCCCATGCGCTGGCCGATGGCAGCACCGCGCCGCGCGGCAGCTGTCGGGTGGTTCACACACATTTCAGCTTTTTTTTTCGTGGCGACGGAGGGGACGAAAGGGAACGAAAGGCAAGCAATCGACGGCTAACGCGCAGGCGGTAAGCCAGGGCAGGCGGGACGACGCAGGCGGACGAAGCAGGCGGGCAATTGGAGTTGCACCGTCACTTGGTTTCCCAGTCATTGCCTTTCTTTTCCTTCTGCCCCATCCCTCTCCCGTTCTATCTCCAACCCACTTTTCGCCCTTCACATCCCAGGACGGTGCTCCTGGCCCTTCCAGCCCCCGCCGCCGCCGCAGATGGGCGACACATGCAATGGTCGCTTGCGTGCTCTGGCGGCCCGCGTGAGAGCTCTCGAGGAGGCCGCTGGGCTCTACGGTCATGAACTTTTGCTCAGCGTGTCGTTCCGCCGGCTCTGGCCTTCCACGCTCCAAGGCGACACGCTATCCACTTCCCGGCCCCCAAGCGTCAACGCCCAAACAGTTCCCAGGCTCCCGCCCAGCGGAGCGGAGCGACACGTTGTCCGCTGGCAAGGCACAGCGTGTCGTCGGGGCCGCCGCCACGACGCGCCAAGCAGCTACAAGTTCCTGACCGTAGGCTCGGTCGGATTGGTTGGATGCTCTGTCTCGGGCCCTCGCATGCCCCACCCGTTAAGGGCAGTTGGCTTGACCTCTCCCTTGAGTCTGCACCTCCGCCTGCTACCTGCCTGGGGCCCGGGTCTTCACCCCACTTTCCCGGGTTTGGCCTCGCGCGACCTCTGTTTCTTCTGCCCCCCTAGCTCGTTGCATTGCCTCTGTGCTCACAGCTCCGGCCCATTCGTTTCGGGACCGACCGCGTTTCGTCTCGCGGCCGCGTGATTCTTTAGTCCCGATAGCAGATTATTGGAGCCGCGTGTACCTTCGCAATTGCGTCATTGGAGTGCGCTAGCGTCTGGTGGCCGACAACGACCAGCGTCGATTCAGCGTCCATCAGCGCTGAGCATCATTGATTGTGCGGCGAGGCGTCGGTTTACAAGAGCCAACACAATGGTATGGGAGGCTCCCCGTGAGTTGCCGCTGAATTCTGCGTCGCTCCGCCGCCCCGAGTTCGCGGGGCTAAGCGCGCAGGGCCAGGCGGCCGCCACCTGCCGCTGCGGAAGCTGCCGCCTGCCGACGGGCGTGCGGCACACCGCGTGCCCGGCGGCCTCCGCACCACCTCCAGTCGCTTGGCATCGCTTGGACGTGTGCACTTGTTCTCGGCGAGGACCATGGAGGAGCGTGCTGGGCTGTCGGGCAACAGAAAAACACGCACGCAACCGAAACATGCACGGGAAATGGACGTCCGAGCGACAGCTAGGTCGGGGCTCGAGAGAGGGGGGTCAGTGCAAACCAGGGTCGGCGAGAGCGCCTGATCTTGCAGGATACTGCAGAGCCAGAGGTGCATTGATCCGGGCTGGTGAGCAGGATCCTGCAGGATCTTGCAGGATTCTGCGAAGCCTCACTGGCTCGGGTATGGAGTGCCCCGGATCAGTAGATCCCCGATCTTGCCTCCCCCCCTCTCCTCCGCAGGTGCGTGGCGGGCCAGCTTTTTGTGCATAGTTATCCATTGCGTCTTGGATGTTTTGGGAAGGGGACCAACAAGGCCGACGCGCAGGGTATGTGGATAGTTAAGAATCTAACCTCTGGGGTCAATGTTCAGAGCCGTATCCATTGCGCCTGGGGGCTCTTGGGAAGGGGGCGCGGAATTGCAAGATATAGTGGCTATTGACTTACAGATTGCCCACATCCGTGGCCGGTGCGGCAGCCAGTCTTAGCGAGAGCATGAATTTTCGGAGGCCCGTCGGGATTTCTTGGATCGGCGCTGGGGCTTTCCTGGCGACGCCTCCAGCGCCGCCCATGTCGCGCTCAGCACGCCAGGAAGGGGGGTCTAGCGCAGATCCAAGGAATCCGCGGGGACCTCGGAGCATTTAGTTTGATCATGCCGATTTGTATTCTTCAGCTGCTTCCATTAATGCGATGGTTGTTCCATTTGCATATGGCATATGGTTATGCTAACCTCTTTCTGTTAGCGACGGAAGGCCAGAGCACACCTGACGGCAAGCCGCATGCCCCCAATTTCGTTGACCTTGGACCATCTTAGGCCATCTTGTAAATATATGTCCCGAGCTGCGACGTTGATGCCCCTGCCCCTGGAAAATTCAAATGTATTCGATAAAGCCTACGGCTTCTGGCTCTAGACGCCTGTAAAGCGTATCACGAACCGCGATGCAGGGGATCCTAAGGATTTGAGGATGTTCTACTCAGAGGCGCCCCCTCACGGTGGCGGATAGGTCGGTTGCCCCTTTTCCAGGGCCACGCAGTCTCGTGTCCCCGTATCGTGCGGGAGGTGCGTGCAATTTTGTTTGAGCGTTCCACACGGCAGGCGCTCGAAGTATGTCAGCACCCAAGCCCAAACCCCGATGTTCAGCTTTGTCCCCTCACCAGCTGGCTCGATTACACGTAAGAGTGACCGTTCGGCGGAGTGACCTTTGGTGCGGGCCCAAAGTGGTCCCCCGATTGCCGAACGCGGGGCGGCAGCGGCGTATTGCGCGCTTGTGTTTGGTCTCGCCGCGGCTCCCCAAAAGCCGCGCATCGAAGGTCACTCTTACCCAGGGCCACTTCTTCGTGTAGCCGACTAGCGCCGTCCTTCTGCTCTGTCTCCTCACCTTCCTGCCTGGTGGTGGTGCCGTTCCTGCTGCTGCTGCTGCCGCTCCTGCCCCCGTCCAGGCCCCGTCCGTCCGCCCAGCGCGTGGGGGGCTCCACCGCCGCCCGTCGCTGCTTTGCCACCGCGAGTCTTGAGCCGCGATGGGTGGGGGTAGGCGACAAGTGGGGGTTCAGCGAGGGCTGCAGAAAGAGGCCCCTCAGGGCCCCTAAAGGGGCCATGCACGGCCCCAGAAGGGGGCCTTGAGGGTCCGAAAACGGCGAGTCGGGCCCAAGCGAGTCGGGCAACGGGCTAGGACGGAAAAAGCGTTCCAGATCGTCGTGGAACACTCTGAGAGCGTTTCAGAGAGATCTGAGCAGGTGGCGGCGCCCGATGCATCCTCGAGAGCCGTTGGCTCACAGAGGTCCCCGTCCCCCCTGTCCTTGCCTGTCCCCCCTGTCCTGTCCCTGTCCGATGTCGCCCCCATTCTGGCTTCGTCTTATGCTCCGCCACCGCAAGGGGCTCGCGCCCCTGCTGCTCGTGAACTCCGTGTTCAAGTCGCTCCGCGGGGCGGCCAACGCGGCGGGCTGGCACCGCCTCAGCAGGACTCACCGGGAGTGTCACGCGTCCCTCGGACGCATCGGGGAAAATCGGCGTCGTCTGACCGATCCCTATCCGGGATGGGGATCAGTCAGTCGATCCATTTGATTAGAAGACGCCGAGCCCAATGGGGATGGGCCAGTTCCATTGCCACACCAACCCACCCCCCTTAGGTGTGGGGATAGAAGCTGGGGAAGCACTCCACTTCGTGCCTCGAGGCACGGTGGCGGATAACTACAGACATGCCTCCAACGTGCAAAAGGATGGCTGGCGACTATTTTCACAATGGGGTTCTCCCCTGGACGCATCGCGCACGCGTCTTAAACGTTTCTGGCAGTTGCACGGGTGGAGGGACGTTCGTCCCGCGAATTCCGAAGGGAGCACCCACCATGTATCCCCATCGAGGGAGGAGTGTGCCAGTGGGGCTCAGGCCATGCCAATGTGGATGGTGATCGCCCTAAAGATGTTCAGGGAAGTTCCCACCTGCCAAGAAACGGGCTCTCGCAACTCCGAAACTTCTCGGCGCCGCGCGCATCCACGCGGAGGCGGCGAGTGACTGAGTCTGCCCCCTCGCGTCGAGCACGCGCGACCGGAATCGGAGCCCAGGGGGTGTCGCCGCCGCCAGCGCGGGGGGGTGAAAGGATCTAGGCCGGAGGCCCACGGGAGGTCGGGCGGACGGCAACGGGGAGGCAATGAACGTCGATTTCGCTTGGGTGTGTTTGAGCAGCAGCCAGAGTCAAAGCGCTCATATTCGAGGCCCCTCACTGTGTCAGGTGTCAGCAAAGTGTCTTGTGATGCGTTCGTTGGCCTGTTCACGCCAGGGTGCTGGGCTCCGCAACAGAATGGCGGGGCGAAGTCAGAGCAGTCAAAGTTGGCAGCGCCCCGTGAGCGCCGGCCTGAGGGTCGTCGATGTCGCTTGGGTGGGGGGGTCGAGGATTGCAGGGCGGCGGCCGTAAAGGGCCCCTAAACTGCCACCAGAGGTGCACGAGGGGCGGGCACTTCTCAACCCCCCCCCCCCCCCTTCTGCTGCCCCACCGTGAGCGCGCGCCCGAAGAGAGGGGGGGGAGCCCAGGCGGCCCTCTGCGACCTCGCGAGGCACGCCGTCTGCACGGGGGGGGGGAAGAGGGAGGAGGAGGAGGAAGAGGAGGAGGAGGAGGAGGAGGAGGAGGAGGCAGAGGAGGAGGAGGAGGAGGAGGAGGTGGAGGAGGTGGAGGTGGCTGAGGGAGGAGGAGGAAGGAGGAGGAGGAGGCGGAGGAGGAGGAGGAGGAAAAGGAGCAGGAGAAGGTGGGGGGTGAGACGCGCGGGCTAGCCTGCTGCGCCCCGAGGGGACCCGCCACCCCCGCGCCTGGCGGGAGGTGGGGCCTCGTGGGTGGGGCGGACGCGGCAAGGCGCAGCGGCGAGGCGTGTTTTTTCTCGGGCCTTGCGCGCGTGCCCGCTCGCTGCGCCCCTGGGCCACATCACCGCGTCGGCCGCATCGCTCATCGAAGGGGATCGGTCGCATCGCATGGTGCTGCAGCAAGAATGCCTCGCGGGCGCGGCCCTGGGCCGCGACCCCGTGGATCCGGGGCGCGTGGTTGTTCGCGGATGTCCCCGCGCAGAGCGAGTCCATGCAACCCTACCCGCGGGATGGCGCCCACGGAATCTTGACCACCACGGCGTGAATGTGGACGTGTGAGCGTAGTTTGTGACACAGGCTTTTTGATCTGAAGGCCCTAATGCCCTGCTGCGTGCACTTCCGATCCCCCGCCTGTCCTCCCCTCACGTGTCTTCGAACTTCCAGCAGCTTGCAGCGTTGCCCTTCCATCCCCAGAGCAGCCCTGCACAGGCAGTCCACGGGCTCGCGCCGACATGGTTTTGCGTTGGCCCTCTTTCGCTCAACGGTGCCACACTCGTGAGAGGAATGCGCACGCGGCGAGCTTCTCAGACTAAGCCTTTTGCGTTGAGTTCTTGTCTTGGCAATTCGCACTCTTCGCCCCTGGAACAGCCCCTCACGTGTTTCCGCCGAGTGTGAAGTTTTGGCGCAAAGCGATGCAGTGCAGTGCATTTGTTTGCTGTGGCGCCGCCGATGTGCAACTGCCTGTATATGTCTTGCTTGGAGCTGTATTGCTTATCAAAGTATAACATTGCGCTGACGTGTCTTGAACTTCATTGCATAACTGCTCTGCATTGCACTACTCAGTGTTGCCTCGTCCGCGCCGCATGACAATGGTTGCATTGCTCAGACTTGCTTTGCCGCCCAGCTTACCGTAAGCAAGGCTTACCGTAAGCTTACCGTAGAACATTCCCGACCGTAAGTTACGGTCGGGAATTTTGGCTTGGTGTGTCGCGCTGGCGGCTCTGACCACCATGCTTGGGCGAGACAAGCCATCCACGTCCCTGTCCCCCAGCGTCAACGTTTCGAGCCTTTCCCAGTCTCCCGCCCCGCGGAGCGGAGCGACACAAGCTCCACTCGTGAGGAACAGCGTGTCGCCAGGGCCGCTGCCGCGTCACGCTAAGCAACAGTTCTGGACGGTATGTGCACGACATATTGAGCCCGCAGAGCGGAAGTCGCCTCGGGCCTCCAGGGGGAAGCTGGCATGCAGATTGTGCAACCCGTGGAAGTTATAGTGAGACTGCCTCGGCGACGGTCGCTACCAATCGTCGCAGTGTCTCGTGGGGGCGTAGTTGCGCCCCTCGAGGGGTCGGCGGGCCTGCAGGCCAGCGTCGGGCCTCCTTGGGTCCATGGGGCACGCCGTGCGTGAGGGTTGTCCCGGAGTGAGGCTGCAAGAGGCCGGTTCGGGGGGCAGTTGATGATGGGCCTGTTTCCCACCACCACCACCAGAAGTTGGAGGGGGGAAGGAGGTGGAGGGCGAAGAGGAGGAGGAGGAGGAGGAGGAGGAGGATCCCCTCCCCCTCCAACTGATGGTGGTGGTGGGAAATAGGCCCATCAGTTGAGTGCCCAGCATTCACGAAGTGCGTGAGGAGTTTGCCGAGTTGAGGTTCCCGTCAACATGGAAGGGCAGTTCACTTCTTTGTCGACGTCCCCCAGGAGCCTGCAGACACACACATCAGTCGTTTTTCATATGTCCCAGGGGCCTGAGAGCGCAGTCTACTTGTATTTTCACGTGTTCCAGTAGTGTGTGGGGCAGGAAATGCATGAAGCGTGTCCAGAATTGGTCCCTTCGTGGCCCTCAAAGCGCAGGTCACTTCTATTTTCAAGTGTCTCAGTGGAGTGTGGAGCAGGAAATGCGTGAGGGCTGCGCCGCAATGACAGTGTCGTAGCCATGAAAGCGGTGCTCTCTTGTATTCTACGCGTTCCAGAACGATGTCACAGAGGAATTGCGTTGTGGATGCGTCGAAACGATGCGTTCGCAGCCCTCAGGGCGAATCTCATCCGTGTTTTTACTAGTCCCTGGAGCTGTCACGCGCGATGGCTTATCTCTGGGAGCGCGTTTTACTACTGCTTTTTCCGTGCCCCCAGGAGAGTTGTACCAACCATATCATATTGAGGCCGGCGGGATGCGCGAAGCTCTTCTTCGTATGCCCTACGCATGCCATCACACCATCCTGGATTTCACCATCAATCATTATGTTTCTTCGAAGCCGACCGCACGGAGTGGGCCCGCAAAGACCCCATCGAATTGAGCCCGCACAGCGAGAGTCGAGGCGGCCCCCCAGTGGGAAGTTTGCACGCAGATGTTGAAGTCAGTGGCAGTTAAGGGATGCAGGCTCGCCGAGGGACGGTACCAATCGTTGCAATGTTTCTTGGGGCCATGTCGGCGTCCCGTGGGGTGTCGAACGGCCTCGGAGCGCAGATCATTAGTACTTCCACATGTCCCAGTCGAGTGTAGAGAAGGACATGCGTGATGGGGTACGCCGAAACGGCATTGTTGTAGCCATGACAGCGTTGCTCACTTGAATGTTTTACGCGTTCCAGAATGATGTCAGGGAGGCATTGCGTGTTTGATGCACCAGAGCAGTGCTTTTGCAGCGATGTGGGCGCATCTGACTCGTGTTTTCACGCCTCCCAGGAGCTGCCACGCGCGTGGGCCTGGCGCTGAGAGCACGCCTCACTAGTATTCTGACGTGACCCCAGAAGAACTGACAACATCGGCTTGTATTCAGAACATCAGCCAGCCGTATGTTCAAGGCCGCTCCTAGCACGCATCCTACGCATTATGCATTATGCATGCACCTCGCTCTCCTCCATCATTCTCCATCTCATCATCCACCCCCACGGCTACAGCACGGCCAGGGCCCGCAGGGGGCCCATCGAATTGAGCCCGCACAGCGAGAGTCGAGGCGGCCCCCCAGGGGGAAGTTTGCACGCAGATGTTGAAGTCAGTGGAAGTTAAGGGATGCAGGCTCTCCGAGGGACGGTACCAATCGTTGCAATGTTTCTTGGGGCCATGGTGGCGTCCTGCAGGGTGTCGAAGGGCCTCGGAGCGCAGATCACTCGTATTTCCACATGTCTCAGTAGAGCGTGGCGCAGGAAATGCGTGAGAGGTGCGCCGAAATGGCAGTGTCGTAGCCATGAAGGCGTTGTTCATTTATATTTTTCGCGTTCCAGAATCATGTCAGAGAGGAATTGCGTGAGGGATGCGCCAGAGCAATGCTGTCGCGGCCTTGAGGGCGCATCTCACTCGAGCTTTCACGTCTCCGGAGGGCTGTGTTCTGAGGCCTTTGGGGGGTTGTTCTGGTGCCTCTTGGGGCATATTTTAAGCCTCTTCGGGGCTCCTTGGGCCTCTTGCGAGCCTCTTGGCGGCCTCTTGGGGGCTCTTGGGGCCTCCTGGGCGCCTCTTGGGGCTGAAGGCTAGTATTTTCGGTCCGCATTCCCCCCCTTTGGGCCCTCTTGGGGTTTCTGCGGCATTCGTGGGACGCCTCTTGGGCCGTCTTGGGCCCCTCTTGCGGCCGTCTTTGGGGCCTCTTGTGGGCCTCTTGCGACGACTTGGAGCGCAAGAAGCTCGAAAAGTTCATAGCCCCACAAACGGTTGAATGAGACAAGGGAAATCCATAATGGTTGCATCTCGGGGCCCTCTTGGGAAGGCTCTTGGAGGCCTCTCGGAACGTCTTTGGCGTTTTTCGTTGTTGAGTGGAGGCCATCTTGGGCATCTTGAACTGATCGTTCAGCGATTCGGGGCTCGGACCGTCTTTCACCACCCACCAAACCACCCCAACCCAACCCGAAGGTCTCGATTTGCCCTCCATTTCTAGTTGGGGGGGATCGGGGAACATCGAGAAAACACATGTGGAACCCGTACCCCCCCCAACCCGAAATTCGGGTCTTCGGGTTGGGTTGGGGTGGTCTGGTAGGTAGTCAGTCTTGGAGGCCGCTTGGGGTCCAGAAGACCGCCCCGGGGAGGTCTGGCATCCTTGAGCCCACATCGCCGGGGTGCTTTTCGTCTGGGGACCGCCCAGGGGCGGCCCCGCGCGCGCGACCTGCACCTTAGGCGATGCTTAAGAAAACTTGAGTTTTCGGCCAGAGTCTCGATTATTCTTAATGTTTCAATGTGAATCCCAAGATTTCAATCGAAATTCTGGGTTTTTATTCAAATTCTTAGACTATGAATTTCTTAGCCCATGATTTCTTAAGCATTTCGCAGGGTGTAGTCCACGGTTGTTTTTGTTGCATGTCGGCGGCGCGCCTGGGGGGAACGCGGGAGTGGGGGCGGGCTTTCTCGGGAGACTCAGAAGTCCACCCGCCCCTTCTGCGAAGACACAGACAGCTTTCCAGAAGGCCTGAGGGCGTGAAGAAGCCCCGCAGCCTCCCGAGAATCGGGCGGGTGGTGAATTGGAGATGAACTCAATGGGGGGGTGAGGAGATTGGCCCTAAAGGGACCCTCTAGAGCCCCTCTGGGAAAAGGGGCCCGGAAGGGCCCCTTGAGGGTCCTCTTCTGCACCCCCCATTTAGGTCGCCTCCCATTACCACCCGCCCGAGCTTCCTGGACTTCCTTTGGACCGGGCTAGGACGAGGATTAATCCGTTCCAGAGATTCCGGAACGCTCTCAGAGCGGCTTGGCACGCTCTCAGGAGGCCGCGGCGTCCGAGACATCCTCCAGAGCCGCTTGATCTCAGAGATTTTCGAAGTATCTCCACCCAGTGCTATCCTCGTCCTGAGTCGTCTTACAGTCAACCCGCACAGTAAGGATGAGCAATTTTCCAAGGCTGCCCTTGAATCCTTCCCCTTCGGCCTGTCCTTGGCCGCTTGCCCGCTTTCGCTGGCCGCGCCGCGCTCGAGGAGTGTCGACATGGCCTTCCAAGGCCCTTGCATCCTCATCCCCCTTCTCACTGCCCCCCCCCTCGCTCGTGTGCAGAAACACTCGGGCCGGGCGAAAGGGGGGGATTGGGAAAGGGGGGGTTACGAAATTTGCTGCATGCAGCTGGTTTCGGCCTCACCGAGGGGCCCATTCCTCGATACATGGGCGCTCCCGGCGCCGGGAGGCGCCGGGAAAATCAGCTACGTGAGCTGATTCTCAAACCCCCCCTTTGCTATCCACCCCTTTCGCCCGACCCGATACGAGGCGCCTTCTCGCGGACGCCCCGCTCGGAGCCCTCCGACCGACCGCGCATCCGCGGGATCGCGCCTCGGAGTCCCGACCGCGCGGGCGCGGCTGCAGACCTGCTCGCCGCCCGTGACCCCGCTCGCCGCCGGGCATGGCCCGCCGACGCCTCGGCCGCGAGGATGACCTACCGGCGCCTCAACCTCGCGGTGGCCGCGGCGTCCCTGTGGCTCGCGGCGGCGGCCCGCTTCGGGGGCCTCTTCACTGGCGGCGGGGCCGAGGTGTACGCGAGCTGGCTCCCACCGGGAGTCAGCTGAGTCAAGCAAGGACGCCCTCGAGGGCGCGAAGTTCTGCGCGCTTCTCGTTTCGGCTCCGATTCCTCATCCTGGGAGGCGGCGGGAGAGCGCGAAGGTATCCGCGCTTCTCACAGCGCGAAGCGCCAAGTTAGGCGCCCTTTCTGGAGTCAGCGGAGGAAATAGGTTTGCCTCTTTTTCGCCTGTTTGGGCCTGCTGGGAGGCCCTCGTCGCCACCGCTGGATTCGCTTCGAAGTCCTAGTCAGGACGCATCCCTGGAGAGGTCCAGAGAGATAGGGTCCCGTGGGAGCCACTCTACACGTAAGAGTGACCCTTCCCTCGCCGAAGCAGCCCTTGGTGCGGGCCCATTGAGGTCCCCCGTTCGCAGAAGGTTTCGTGGTCCTTCATGGGAGTCTCAGAGGGTCCCAGAATGTCTTGTAGTTCGGATTTGTAGTTCGGATTTGTTTTGGTCCGGATGTCGTCGGATTTAGTCGGCATTTTGACGACATTTGGACGAAGTCCGGCCGAAATTTGGGCGAAAGGGTGAAGGTGGGTGGTCAATATCTGGACGAAATTTGGTCGAAACCACGTTTATGATAGGGCCGCGGAAGTCCACAAAGGTTCCCACGAAGTATCACCCAAACGCGTGAGAGCGACCCTCGGGAGAGGAATGTTACCTTCTCTCGCCGCCACAGCTGGACTCGCCATGAATATGGCCACAACGCACACCTGAAGAAGTCCTGGAAGGAGCAGTATTGGCATCTGGAGTTACCTCTGGTGCGGGTCCGTGGGGCTCCCCCCCAGCACTGGCTTGCGCGCCTGGCTTGGTCTGCTTGGCCTCCTCACGGCCACCCTCAGCCGGGCACCAAAGGCAACTGTTGTTGCCCAGCGCACGATCTTGCGAGCAGCCGACAGTGAGGGGGGAGGGATGCCGTGTGAGATGACGAGGCGGAGAAACAGCAGAAGGAGTTGACGCCGTTTGCGGAGCGTCCGCACAGAGTGCCAAAGAGAGAGAGAGAGAGAGACAGACAGAGAGATAGATAAGAAACAAACATGAGAAAGAAACAGAGAAAGCGAAAGACAATGAGGAAGGGAAAGAGAGGGAGAGGGATAACAGAGATATTGAGAGAGAGAGAGAGCGAGAGATGGATAGAGTGAGAGAGCAACAGAGAGGGGGAGCGAGAGAGAGAAAGAGAGAGAAATACAGAGAGAGAGAGAGAGAGAGAGAAAGAGGAGGAGGACGAGGAGGACGAGGAGGACGAGGAAAAGGAAACGCGATGAGGGTCTTGAGGGGTGCCGAACACGAGGAGGATGAGGAGGAGGGGGAGGAGCAGCAGCAGCAGCAGAACGCCAACGAGATGGGGAGAGAGAGAGGAGAGAGAGAGAGTGAGAGAGAGAGAGAGACACGGAGAGAGAGAGAGAGAAAACGGGAGAGAAGAAGACAGAGAGGAAGAGAGAGTGACAGAGAGAGAGAGAGAGAGATAGAAGAGGAGGACGAGGAGGACGAGGAAGACGAGGAACAGGAGACGCGATGAGGGTCTTGAGGGGTGTCGAACACGAGGAGGATGAGGATGAGGAGGAGGGGGAGGAGGAGGAGGAGGAGGACAGGAGGAGGAGGAGGAGGAGGGGGGGGGGAGGAGGAGGGGGAGGACAAAGGCAAGGGCGAGAAGGATGAGGGAGCAGCAGCAGCAGCAGAAGAATGAAGGGGCGGAAGGCGAGCACCGCCGCGCTTCGCACCGGGGGGGGGGGGGCACCGCAGCGCCAGATGCAGAGTGGCCGAGAGGCAGGGGAGCACGCGCAGCGTGTGAGGAGCAAGGAACTGGGGCGGGGAAGGAACGCAGGACGGGCGGGAGCAGGAGGAGGAGGAGAGGGAGGAGAGGGAGGAGGGCGGGGCAGGAGGAGGAGGGATGAGGGGGAGGAGGAGGAGGAGGGGAAGGAGGAGGAGGAGGAGGAGGAGGAGGAGAAGGAGGAGGCGGATGATGGGGAGGAAGGCCCAAGCGCAGCGGAGCAACCCTGGCAGGGCCGTGCCTCCCAAGAGGGGTCGCCGCCGCCGCCGTCGCGAGGTGGCGGTCTCCGTCGCCGTCCCGCCCTTGTCCAGGAGTCCTTGCAAAACCGCGAAGACGCGCCTGCAAGACATACACTGCATAGACATCTGAGTGAGGAGGCCGAACGGTCATTCACTGTCCCTGGTTGCGTGGCTGAAGTGGGTTCCGCGGTGCGGATTGTTGTTGCGTTGCGTTGCGTTGCGTTGCGTTGCTGTTGTCGTCGTCCCTCTCGCGACTCGGCCCGCGACCCACCCGCGACCCGCCCGCAGGCCACCCGCGACTCAACCGCTATCCTCCCGCGATCCATCCACGACCCCCACGCGACCCACCCTGCGCCCGTCCCGGGTGCTAAGTAACGCTCTCTGAGTGCCGCGCGAATTTCTGCCCACACGGAGTTTGCCGTTGACATGGCGCGCGTTTCCCAGCGCATTCTCGGCAACATGACAGCAGCCCAGCTCGCGGCTTGGCACTCTCAGTATGATATCGAGCAGACTGTGCGCAATCTTGTGTAGCTTCAGTTGCAGTCTTCCCCGCACGTGCATGGTTTAGTCCACGCGCGGCGCGGTGTTTGACATTTCAATAGCATCACTTCGCGGATTTCCTGCGTCGGCGCTGGGCCTCCGAAACGGCGCCTCCGAAGCGCCGCCCTTGGCGAGCTTCGTGCGCCAGGGCGTGGGGTCCAGCGCCGATCCAAGAGAGCCGCGCGGACCTTTGAAACGGTGTGTCTATATCGTTCCGTCCTCCTCTACAGTCGAGGCTGAGCAGGTCGACCCTTCCAAGTAGCCCCTTTGCGCTCGAGTAGCGTTGCAGGAACTGTTCTTCAAAGGGGCGCGCGCTCCTGCGAGCCAATTTTGCGAGGCGACAAGATTCCCGCCGTCGTCCCAGAGCTAGCATGGCCCCGGTTGCCTCTCGCTCTGCACGCTGGAACGATGGCTGGCCATGGCAAGACCCCGATCGCACGGTCTTCCAGCACCGTGGACACACTCCTTCGACGTGGAAGTGCTCTCAGTGCGGATGCAAGAAGAACAAGCAGCAGTGGCAGCAGTGTAAGCACTGCTGGGCATGTCGCAGCTCGCCGTCCTTCCACATGCATCCCTCGCCGCAAGGGGTCTGGCAAGGACAGCCGCAGCTGGCAGGGCCCCAAGGTGCTCAGCCTCCTCCTGGTTCTTGGTCTGCTACGCTTCCTGTGCAGCCAGGCCCGTTGTTCCAGCAGTCAGGAGGGTCTCTTCCGCGTCCTGGAGGAGACGTTGCGGAGTCGGCCAAGCTCTGTGAGGTCATCGCCTACATGCGCTCAGTGGGTGACTCCGACGGCGTTGCAAAGTACCAGAAGATCCTGGACTCCAAGCACGTGGTGCAGAAGGTCGAACCCCCCCTCCAGCAGCTGGTGGGCAAGGCTTTCCACGACATGCGCGCCCTGGAGGGCAAGCTCCACAAAGCGGTCACTTACTTCGAGAGGCCCCAGAAAGACTTGGACGCCCAGCGCATTGTGGTGCAGTCTTTCACGGATGAACTTTCCAAGGCTGAGCAACGTCACAAAGGACTCGTTCAGCAGCTGGCCGAGCACGTGGGTGGAGATGCTGCTGGAGAACAGCAGGCGACTACACCTTCGATCCCGACCGAGGACATTCTCCAGGGCAAAGAGCTGCCTATTTACTTGGACTCGCTGCTGGTACCTGAGGCTGAGTACGACCTCTCACCGGAGGACAAGAGAGAGGCAGAGACGCGGCTCAAGACGTTGCAGCAGTCGATCTCTCAGCAAGTGCAGCAGCTATTTGGAGCAGCTGCTGAGCAGACAGCTAAGTTCCGTGAGGAGCAGAAGGAGCAGTTGGAGCGCCTGGCAGGCAAGCGTCGGCGCGTCGCTGAAGGAGGAGAAGGAGCTGCAGCGGCAGAAGATGCATCAGCAGCTGACGGTGACGGCAAAAGTGCAGCAGAGCCAGAGATGGCGCCTGGTGTCCCCGCGGGTGGCGGTGAGCCTGCTGGGCAGCCAGCTGCTGCTCCTGGAGCCGCGACCGCGGACCATGCTGATGCCGAGGATGTCCGCGCCCGAGCCCGCCGCGTGTTCAACAACCCCCCCCCCCCCCCCCCCCCCCCCCCCCTTCAGGCGCATCGGCGTGAAGGGGGGATTCGATTTCAGCAACCACATGCTCCTCAGCTTCGTTCTGGACATGCTGACCTGACCGCCTCGCCAGGCCCAGCTGCCAGCATTCTTTTTCAGTCGGACCAGGGCCTTGCTGGCCCCACCTGCTTTTGGAATCTTCCTTGTGAGCCTCATCACTCGGAGGGCCCAGCGGCGGAGTCCCCCGCCCCTCGCCCCCGCACAAAAAAAAAAAAAAAAAAAAAAAAAAAAAAAAAAAAAAAAAAAAAAAAACGGCCTTGAGAAGAGCAGGGCCGCCGCGAACCCTGTTCTTTTTTGCGCAGACAAGTCTAACTCTTATGCCGTGGCCTATCGGCCGTTCTCCCGTCGCCCCCCTCCTGACATGAACGGCGTGTCGCGGCCTACAAGTCGGTTCCGAGGCTTGTTAGCGGCTGTGCGTCACACGCTCTGGAGGGCTGCGCGAATTTTGAATCGAGGACGGACGACCCACACTTCCCTGCCAGCTGACTCCCGTTGTAAGCTGGCCAGTTCTGGGCACAGATCCCCGTTTTACCCCGCCCTGGGCTTTCCAGGCGCGGGCAGCCCAGTGGAGATGGTGCCTGGCCCCAGGATCTCCCCCCCTCCCCTTCCGTGCCTCACTCCTCCTTCTCCTGGCCAGGTCCAGGGGTCTGACGGGCTGAGCTCGGTGCAACTGTTGATTCGAATTATGAATGTGAACTCGTGGGGCACGCTCAAGAAGCTTTTGCCTGACAC